TGGCGGAGTGCTATTGACTTACTGGATGATAATTGAATGAGAAATGAAAATGTGGTTCACCGATGGCCGGATTAGAACCAGTTGCCTCCGACTGACTGATTTACTAGTCCGACTGGCTCTCCACTAGCAGAGTTACGAGATTCAACTGTTAACTAGGTCATAATTTCATGGGTAATACCCGACTTTCGTGCAGATAAATACTACGCTACTGCCTTTACCATCACAGCAGCTCATCAGAGATGTGTCGGTGGTTCAATGGTAGAATGGTCGCCAACTACTAGGCCTTATATGGTTCAGAGTTCAGTCCCCGGCCGACACACTCCCTACACCTCGCTCAGACCGGTCGTAAGCCCAGTAAAAAAGAGGAAAGACTGGGCGTAAGACTAGCGGCTCTACCACGTAAATTAAACAATACCACAATTGGTGGATGGTGGCTAGCAGTGGAATGCAGGATGAGCATTTCGTCCTATTTGGGACTCGTCATCTGGATGTACCTGCATTTCTCAGTGAGTGATGACGTTCCCACCGAGGCTCGAATCCAGTACCCATAGTTTCAAACGCCAAAGCGTTATCCACTAAACCACTTGGGCCACGAGAGCCACCTCTTGTGCAACGGGTCATATTAATTATTGAATTGAATTTTTGATTTTCCCGTCGATTGATTGGACCGAAGTGCTCGGTCTCAGGTTGACAAATAGGACGAAATGCTCATCCTGAATTCCACTGCTAGCCACCATCCACCAATTGTATGCTAACTAAATACCCAGACATCGTCGAAGCATCTGCACAAGAAGCCGACATGTTAACCTGAGACCGAGCACTTCGGTCCAATCAATCGACGGGAAAATCAAAAATTCAATTCAATAAACAATACCACCGCTACGGTAAACTCGGAAAGCAAAATTTTGAGAAAAGCTTCGCAGTTGAATCTTCTCCTGTTAACCTAAGTCATTTCAAAAATTAAAAGGAGAGGAACAGATAATTAACTGATGGTGAGACGGTGTGAGATTCTTAGATTAGCAGGTTGTCATTATTATTATTATTATTATTATTATTATTATTATTATTATTGACTGCATGTTTATGAAAACCCAATGAGGTCAAGTAGGCATACATCTCACGAATTCAAAATAGGTAACAACTAGACAGCACAGGAGATTTTGACAAATATTCATTGGAGATAAGAAACTACAACCACTGCGACAGCCACTAAATTTCTATGAATGCACAACCCATTTCATTCATCATGGGAAGGACAACATAGCTACTTGCAGTGTTGATTGAGAAAAACAATTTTAAAACCTACTTTTAAATGTTAAGAAATTTCCAAAAATTTAAAACAATTAGTCCCTTTTATAAATTTGAATAGTGTTATTAGAAGACGGAGATTATCTGAAAAATAATGTGATGTATTTCCGTAATACATTTCGAACAATCTGATCACACGCTTACTTGTCAAGTCGATATATATGAAAAAATTAAGGGCAATTAAATGAAACAAAGTGACAAAAAAAGGATTTTAGAATAATTAACACAACGTTTGGTAATCCAATCAAATAAGGATTACCAAGACATTTATAAAGTTATATTTGTAAAATCTCAGCGAAATTGAAATGATTAATTCCAACGTTTCGTTCGGCAATCTGGTTCGAACTTCTTCAGGGAAATTAATCGAAATTAACATAAAGTTTATATATAAAGGGACACCTCTTGTTTTTTTTAAAAAAATTTGTCCAATCATGAGTCATGCAAAAAAAAATTTCAATTTCGCTGAGATTTTACAAATATAACTTTATAAATGTCTACTTCTCACTCAGCGCTCAATTATTTTGCAACTATCCGGTCAAATCTTGATCACAGTTCGTATGAAGGATTACCAAGGTACCATTTTTATAGATGACCTTAAAGGATGAGTTAACATCAATCTAATGGTTCATCTCGATTAGGTGTTTGGTAGTGTGACACCTGCGTCTATTGGTTTTCCAATTTACTTGTTTTTCTAACCATTTCGGCATATGCTCTCGCACCTTCACATGCAAAGCGCGATTACTCCTGCTTGTGTCCACACACACACACACAAATTGGTAAATAGTGTGGGATGTGACATAATCACTTGTACACCTTTGAGGTTTGCAGTGGAGAATATTTTTGTCTTTCTCGATAATAATAACAAGCCAGACTGCATAATAGGTTCTACGGATGACCGAATTCAACCTTTGTCTCAAAATCCTACTGTTTATTTCCCCGTTATAAGGTAATTTGATGAAAACATTTTTCTTCGGAGCGGTATGGATTGTAGATTTAAAGATTATTTGACTTCTACACCTGTTTAAAATTTTTAAAGGATATCCATCAGTATTTCATTTTCTTTGTCTATGACATCAGCCGTACAAATACGTTGAATCCTCTTAAATAGACATTGTCACCAGACCTCTCTTATACTGTAATGGATAGAAACTGTGTAAATTAAGATATTGCCCTGTCCAAATAGGCTTTCTCTAAGTTGATCGTCTTATTGAACTATCATCTCTTCGACTCAGAAGTATGTCTAAAAATGCAAGCTGGTTGCGACTTTCTTCCTCGCATGTAAGACTTATATGATTCTGTACAGAGTTAAGTGTATCTAATAGACGACTCGCATCTTTATGACCATCACATATCAAAATGATATTATCATCTACGTATCTCCTATAGAAGTGCAATTTAGAAGTTAAATCAAGGGACAAGTTCTCAGCATAAGACATGTAAACATCCGCTAACAAAGGTCCTAACGGACTCCGCCACTTGTCGAAAATGCTCACCTTCAAACGCGAAACAACAAATGAATAGGTTTTCCTATATTTTGTAGCGCAAATACATCACATTTTTCAGGTAATCTCTGTCTTCTAATAAGAAATTTCCACTGGCAAGGGGGGGGTTGTTAAACAATCAATAAGTATAAATTGAATTTGAAGTTTGCAAACTAATTTGCAATTTTCATACAATGTTCAAAAGAAGTGGGATTTCATCACACAGTGTGTTTCCTTTACAATCCAAAATTATTCATATCACAACTGATTGATTGATTGATCTACTTAGTAATTACCAAGCACAGATACTATTAAACTAATACACACCACTGACTACTCGTCGAAATGATTGGTTGGCTGGTTGGTTGGTATAGCCAATCAGATCGAAGTGATCAAAACATCGGATAGACGTTTCAATTCGAGCTAGCTCATCATCACCCAGTTTCAGTCAGCTTAGAGAAACAAATCACTTCAAAAACAAAGCGAAATAAGAATTTATGGGTAAATGAATTCTAAACCCCTCGGACTATATATTAACAGAATATATTGCATGGAGTATTTTTTCAATGAACAATATCTCAACAAATCACTTTTAGATTTCTCTATCCATCTATCTATCTATCTGTTTAACTTAGTCCATCTCTCTGAGAAACGATGAATATTCGAAGAATTAGACAGCAATGAATCAAAAAGAAAACAGCAATAACAACAATGTTCTATAAACTACTGGCTTAGATAAACAGTTTATACGGCTTGTAAATAGAAAACAATCAGTTGACTTCGGTCAAATGTAAGAAAGCGATCTGTTTAAGAACAAACTTTTGTAGTTAAAATAAGCTCATATAACTGTCACATTGTTCAAACGTTTATCGCGCAAATACACTATACACATAAACACACACACACACACTTGTTTTTAGATAAACTCATATCTTTTAAATAATGCAGTTCCACTGCCTAAAGGCGAATGACTAATATAATAAATATTAAAACGCTGGAAAAAAGTAGTGGATATTTGTTTCGTCCCAGTTTGACACTCTTCAGAAGTACGCATAACCTCCTCCACCAGGGGAGGGTATTCGACTGCAAGGCGACCACCTTGTAAACCATTCAATCACGGGGACCCAATCCAACCAGTGGTTAGCCCATGAATTCTTACTGCTGCCAATTCGCGATATATAGCGTAATCGCCAGTCAATATCATCGGCAAGTAACTGTTCTCTTACCTGATTTGGTGTACCCCACTCATATATATATATATATATATATATATATATATATATATACTGAATCAAACTCGCAATCTGCAATTTATACCTTTTGAGGAGGTAAATTTTCACTACAGTTCCCTTTGGAAGACAAGCAATAATGTTTACGCGAGTTGATCACGGATTGATATCAGTTAGAGAACCATTGAAAACCTGCAGGGAGTACTGGACAGCTGTTTCATTCTAGTTTAGGAATCATCGGCAGTGCGCACTCACAAGGCAAACTCGTTTACGATTCAGCCACTGGGACCCTATTCAATGGCTAATGAATTCTAACTTCTACCAATTTGTGAGCTTGCTTTGTAACCGGAGGGTCCTGGGTTCGAACCGTGACAGTGGGTACGTACTGCCGATGATTCCCAAACTAAAATGAAACAGCTGTCCAGTACTCCCTGCAGGTTTTCAATGGTTATCTAACTGATATCAATCCGTGATCAACTCGGAAAAAAACATAACTAACATAACATTACACCGATGACATTTCCAGCTTGTTCAAGTAACTAGCTAGGAATCATATAGTTTTAAATGACCCAGCTATCTGAGCTCAATCCAACTGATGAACTAAGCCGCAAAACCAGAGAATCGACAGACTGGTGTTTATTTAGGTCACTTCGATCTGGCTGGCTAGCAAGTGTCGCTGGTTGATCTGAACAGTATCCAGATACTACTCACCTTAATCAGTCAGTAGTATATATTTCCATGCAACTATATACATATACACACATCCGTTGATATTATAAAAATTAGACTATTTTAAGGTGTTAAATTATAAATTGATGTAACAAGTTAGAGTGATGATAGACTACAGAAACACATCTATTCTGAGGAAATCGACCAGCTGGGAACTTCTAAACTCAAAGTAATAAATCAATAAATGCAGTTTCCAGTGTTAGTACTATAGGCTACCTACATACATACGATATGCATACATGCATAAACTAACCTTTGACAAAGCGTTTAATAACCAACCGACGTAAATGTCGTCGTGACAGACGACCGCGATTAATTCGACGCCAAAATCGGCACAAATGTATAACAAATGAAATCACAAGGATTAACAGTGAAGTGCCAACAACAATCAGCAGTGCAAGAAGTACATACTTCAACGGTAGACCATAAAAGCTGACCATATTTATCATAAACCTGAAAAAAATTTTTTTAAAAACACCAAGAAGGGTTATAATAATTGCAAAGAAAAACGCGTCAATACTTCAATACAGATAAGCACATTGAAAACGCAATATTCAACAAAGAGACTTCAACCATTATTGAATTGGATTTTTGATTTTCCCGTCGATTGATTGGACCGAAGTGCTCGGTCTCAGGTTAACATGTCGGCTTCTTGTGCAGATGCTTCGACGATGTCTGGGTATTTAGTTAGCATACAATTGGTGGATGGTGGCTAGCAGTGGAATTCAGGATGAGCATTTCGTCCTATTTGGGACTCGTCATCTGGATGTACCTGCATTTCTCAGTGAGTGATGATGTTCTCTCCGAGGCATCTTCATAAATTTGAAATCCAAGCGTAACTAGGCTTCAAATATGCTCAATAATCATTTTTTAAATCAGTCACGGTAAGACGTTCTTTGCAGCCACAAGTTGTTCTCCATCTCTGTAAAAGATAAACTCCTTCATCTAACCAATAACACATGTGTATCTATCAGTTTATCTACTGTTGTAGAACACGGTATATATGCCATAGTCACAATGCCTTCCATACGTATACAACAGCACATCCCAACACGGTTTTACAAGGAAGAGAGAAAGAGTGTGCGAAGCCCTGCTCTAAAATACTTCATAAATTTCTGTCCCTCTACCGACGCTTATGGTGATGACAAGATCATCTAACGAATTCACGCTGACTCATCTCAATTTATTCGTTCTAAGCAGGCGGCAGAGGTTACAGCCATTTATCAATTCAAGCGACAATCCCTATTTCTACCTTGGCAATAAGGGGATAAACATACATTTATTTATTTTTCATTTTGCCAACTGAATCAATGTACCTTTCCATTAAGATTACGACTTTCATTAATATCATTATCCTCACTTTGAACTGTCTCTTGTATTATATTTCGCTTATCCAATATATACTATTTTAAACCAAAAAAAATCTTTTGCAACCATATTTTCTATCTTATCAAACCTCATATTATGTTACGTAATATTTTCATTGCCTAGTAGTGATCCTATTATTTTACAACCCTCTCCAAGATTTATACAATTCTATGAGCTGTTCGTTTCATCACTTGTGACATCGAGCTATGATCTACACAAGTGCAAACAATTTAGTCGCATTTCAAACTACCATTCTTTTAAGTATTCGCACCTCCCTTCAAACACAGTTTCTTAAAAACCATATTCATTTATATACAACAGTAAAGTTTGATAATAAATTTGTTAAAAAAGATTTTTTTCGCTGTATAGTATATTCTTAATATTATAAATGGGAAATATTTAATGCTGGCGAACTACACGTATTATTCCCTACACGACCGATGGTGCTACCTCTACTGAAAGATGAAGTACCTGGACTAGCTAGCCACTTCAAATTGTATCTACCAATTCAACTGCACCGCTTGTGGGGCGAGTTATATTGGCCGTTGCTCTAGGAGCTTCATTTTTCGTGCTCGAGAACATATCCAACTAGGGCTAAGTAAGGGTGCAGTGAAAACCATTAACAGTTCGATATTGAGCCATATGGTGCAAACCGGCCACAAAGCCAGCAAGTGTTGAAGAATCCTTCTCTATAATCTACCGGGTGCCAAATAAATTGCCGAAATCATAGAAGCACCAGCGCGTCGGTGGAATAGCGGTTAGGACGCTCGCCGATCATGCACGTGGTCCGGGGTTCGATTCCCGGCCGACGCACTCCTTTACCTCGCTAAGCCAGAAATAATGCTGGTAACGAGGAAAGGTTGGGCATGAGGCTAGCAACCCCATCCCGTAAAACTAAACGCTGCTACAGAAACTTCAAGCCACTAGCTTGAAGCCATATGTTCCACTGAGGAACGTGCAGGAAAAAAATAGAAGCACCGCATGCTCCAAACAGTAAAGGTTATTGCAATTCACCTCAACCAGTGCTCTGTGTGCAAAAGAAACATTTCCAGTCGCTACTACTGCCCTGGCCTTCAGTAAAGACTATAAGTTCATGAATTTGTACTATTATCTTTCCTAATTTCTCTAACATTCAGCTTGTTTTATGTTGATGCTATTGAACTGCAATCTATCAATATTATTGATTGGATGTTATTAAAACATTAATGTCGTTCATAACACTAATTCATTCATTTACTATAATGTATATATAACTGTCGAGCCTGATGAAGGGGTTATCGAAAAGAGCACTTTTTGTTTAGTATCCATTCTTTTGAAAATATTACACTCTTGAAAAGTATTCAAGACAAAAAACAACAAAAGAGCAACGATAAATCGTTTAATTTCTTGACTTAAATATTTGGTGAAAATTCAGGTTATCTTAAGATGAGAAATCATAAAACATGTAAGTTTATAGTCATTTTGAAGTAATGTTAGCCTACCTCTTCAAAACCTTGTTATGTGATAAATTTTTAGGGACTCAGTATTTTAGGCTGAAATCTACAACTTCAGGAGACCACACGACTTATAACAATTAGTGATCCTCTGAGTTAACAATCACTACTTCCTTTCTTCAGAATAAGATGACGTCGAGACATACATTGTACGCTTTCGCGTACTTACTACCAGGCAGTACACTAGGCAAGACTTAGGAGTGTATCGACAGGGAGTCGAACCTAGACCGCCCACCGCCCATATGGTTAGTAGTCGTTCCACCACTGGACCACCAACGCATATACGGTGTCTGGCAGACTAAAAAATTAAGTCTTAGTTTCGATTTTTCCCAAGTGACCGCCACCAGCTTGATATCATAACGACTAAATGGGCTGTGCTGGTTGGCACAACTGTTCCTGAGTGTTCTATAATACTAGAAAGATCGATTGGACAACGATGAAGCTAGACGCCATTAGTGCCAGCTATGCTGTTTTCCTACTCATCAGAGGCGGAATGGTTAAAAATCGTCAGTCCTAAGTACTGTGTACGCTGGCTCACTTCAGACATTTCCAACAATTAAACAACCCAGGAGTGATCAGCCTTCAAACGGATATCTCCTGTTTATTGTGATCAAATAAAATTAATCCTTGGTCTTTATTTCGGGTACAAAGAGACTTTCATAATATAGCCAGCTTACATAGGTTGACAGTTCACAAGCTCTTCTAAATTGAGGACTAGTCTGGTCATTAACTATTCTACTCACTGATTTCTAAAACTAAATTTCACCTGTAATTTAGCTTCTGCTAACAATTCTGTACTACTATTAACTCTATCGCTTGCAACCTGCTTGTTCAACTAGAGTTTATCTACAGCAATACTTAGTTTTCGAAAGCCATTCTCCAAATTAAGTATAGGTGTTTTCCATGTCCGTGCTTTGTGGCAAAACTTCGCACGGAGGTCTAAAATCCTACACCATCGATGTGTGTTGTGATTGTGACATGAATGCAGGATCCGAATGTGGTTATTCGCATGACTTCATTTGTCGTAACTAGTGAAACCACTCATTTTGCATTTCTACCATCCTAGGCTTTATTAACCAACTCTCATGACCATGCAGGTGACAGTATAGTATTGAGACTTAGCTTCTCTGGATACTAGGCGAGCCGAATGTGCGATGTCCCATTATACGATACTGCTAAAATTAAAAATTGCATGATATACCAGTGCCTTTTCTCAATCTATGCCAACGCAACCCATCTACTGTGACTTGGTCTAATTAGAACAACAGTCGTTTAGTTTACTATAAAAGTAAAACACTTCAGACTCATCGTAAAGGGAGAATTTACACGGGCAAGAAAGGAGACTAAGTTAAGCAGAAAGGCTCTCAAGTAGCGCCTCTGGGATTCTGCCTCAGAGACTGCCAATTACAAGTTTGTTTCTTCCTAGTGAGTAGTGATTCCAAACATACGAAAGATCACTATTTAACCTCTACACTGAACACAAACGCATCACATCTCCATCACTTACCACTGGAAGGGTTTAGTGAAGGACTGTCGCCCTTTCTGGACCTTCAAACTTTTCAATATACACACTTTGGAATCACATGTTTGAAAACAACTCAGAAAAACGTCACTTCAGCTGGAGAGAATAGCTTGTACTACGCATGTGCTACAGAATATGAACCTTACATTCCTTCATAAGCGAAGTAGTAATATATTTCAAACTTTTTAAACGCCAGTAGTAGAATAACTTACTCCTTTGAATTGTTATCAACGGAATAACGCATTAACTTCAATCCAGCACTTTTATCCACCATGACAGATGGGATGGTAATTAGATTAACGTCTACAAAAAAATAACTAATGACTTCACTACAACATAAACTAACATTTTCGACCATTCATCGGAAATATTTTTCCATCAATTGTATTGTAAACTATAACCCCTCTATAACCTTGCTGCTGAGCATTCCATGCTTTTAAATCGAAATCACATTTCCCACGCCTTATCAAGGCAAAATATGAATTGAAAACGACAGGTGCACTTCTGTTGACATCTTGTCCACTGAAGTTTGATGGAGGTGGTTGAATACCAGTACAAGCATCATCTGGTTTTGCGACTACAAGATAACCCTTTAAGAAATGAATCAGTTAAATACTGATGAAATCATACATCTCTGTGAAAAATTTCAGGTCCAAAAACGCTGACAGCATCTTGGAAACTATCTACAAGTCCATCAAATGGTTGATTGCGCTAGAAAAGGAAAAAAGAGTAATAAGTGGAAGATGATTTTATAAAAAGATTGAAATAACAATCAAAATTTCTACTGAAGCCTAAAGGCATGATATTTATTCAATTTACAAAGTTGCCATCAGATACAACAAGAAAAATGAGATCAGTTAAATGCTATGCTTCAATTTGCTTTCAATCTATGTGTAAGCGGTGAGTAATGAAAGCTAAGTTGATGTCCAAATGTCACCATTACTATTATCCCTCACATGATTGCATCCTACTGAATCTCTTATTATTATTCAGAATACCGGATGTGCAAATAAAATCGCTCTGAAGCATAAATTAATGCTCAGACGAACCTAACATCAACTACTTAACCCTCAAGAATGCCATTCTTTTTAAAAATCTAACACAATCATCATTAGGTAGAAGTCCAGCTACTATATATAGCACCACTCGCTTAGTATGCATAGAAAATAAATGGAAACGTAAGTCCTTAGAAAAATTGCTCCTTTGGGCTATTCATCTGGGCTTCTAGAAGACTAAGAGTTTAATTTTAGTTCTAAATTTCAAAAGTCAGATAAGGTATGTCTTCATTCGGCGACGCATCAAGAAGCCTACGAGGATCACTCATCTCCAAAAAAACGTCCACTTTTCTATAAACAATTAAACAGATATAAGTGAAATCCTATGGGAAAGTCATGCTCTCATGTAGCAGCTACAGAAAGGGATATGCAAGAATATGACACATTCCAGATAATTCAAAGAGTATCCATTATGCACTGAAATTCTACAACTATGGACACGTGAAGTGCTGAGGGGATCGACAAAATGGTGATACAACTGAATAACGGAGCTGGAAACAAGTCATCCAGAGTTCCATCAGAATACTCAGATTTCAGCAATTTAGTGTATGCTGACATATAAATTTTTATAGTCGACAGTGTGCCTTTGACTCTAAGCTATAGCATGCTGTATTTATGGTCCTTCAACGGCAAAAGAGGATGTCCACTCAGATCGTTACGTACAATACCGTGAAAATTAACTATATTTATGTTATGATCTGTGGTTACTGTCTGAAACTTCCATTAACAAGGTAGTGAGAAGCCCCAGATTTCACTAGAATTCAGATATGACTTCATGACAGACGAAAATATGGAGAAGATCATAGGTATTGTGTGAAGAATACCATTTCTTATTACTTCGATGATTCGGTTAAAGAAAATACAAAATGAATATGAGGGAAGCACATGGTTGGCTGATTCTCCGTGAACTGGAACGCCAATGACCCTTTACTAGCGCCAAAACGATATTCTTAACTTCTAACATACTTTTGTGATTTTTTAGATAAAAATCTTGAATTCACTAGTTTGACCACGGATTGATATCAGTTAGAGAACCATTGAAAGCCAGGGAGTACTGGACAGGTGTTTCAATGGTTCTCTAACTAACATCAATCCGCGGTCAAACTCGTAAACATAAATTTAGTCTTTAAAAACCAACTCTTGAAAATAAATTGTCTTGTTTTTCATGTTTGTTTCTATTATAAAATATCTTTATAACGCCTATGTAAATGAATAATTAAATGCTTATTTCAGAGACGTTAGCAGTTTCATCTTACAGTATAATGTAGGACATTTCAAACAGAATAAATACTTTAGGAAGTGTGGGCAAAACTTCAGACGTAGTTTGAGGACTTTGGATACATCTTGAAATGAACTTCGTGAGATAGAAACATTCTAACGACTCTAAATACAAGTCTGAGGACTTCGAGGAGTGCGTCCCACTTTTTTTGACGTACTGACGACTATATTTTGCAGTTCCACTCAAATATGCTGACGTTTACCCGGAGATTTGACATATGCTGCTAGTAAGTATTTCGGGGACACTTGAGGCACACAGTAATACAAAGATTTACATCGATTTCAATTATATCAAACATTCTGGGGCATATTCATGGTTTCAAACGAAGGTAAATAAAAGAAAGTATATGCGTACACTTTACGTAACAATTAAGAAATAAATCAAGTAAATAGGGTAGAATCCTTTGGGAGAATTAAGTTGTAATGCACCAGAATTCTGCCAAAGTGAAAAAGCTTAGGCGCTTACAACCAAGTAGATTTTACATCTATGAGGTGACTAGAGTCTTTCGTCTGTTTTCTGACCAAAAAGTCTGCTGTCAGCAAGAAGTTATCGCAAGACGAGCTGTTTAACTCAATTTTATTCGAGTGCAAATCATTGTTACGTTATGAAAAATATCAAATATATCAAGATTAGTGTTAATCTGTTCTTACCACTACATAAATTCGCGACTCTGCTGATATTATTCCAAAAAGAAATATACTTCCGCTAAACAAGTACAAAAAGTCAAAAAGTAGCATCACGATAGAAAACCCCGCTTATTGCTTAGATAGGTCTTTTCCCAATTCAATATTCAATTAAAGCTAACCAATGATTTTTTTTACTTTTTTATCTTTGAATATTGCTTGATTCCACACAGTATTTTTTGGAAGAAGCATGGAATTTTCAACATGTGATACTTGTAATCCCACTCGTCAAGCAATGATCTGAAACAGAGAGCAAAGCGCACGTTAGCAGTGTGATCACACAAGTGTTGCGTGCTAGTAAGAACGAGGACTCAAGGTCAAGTATTATATTTACAACCAATCGCAATACAAGTAGATAAGAGGGAAGGGCACTCCTATTGGTCATCCGTTGCCTCGTCTTGGGTAACCAATCCCTGCATACTTCGCAGCCAACCTGAAAGTAGACAAGCATGGTTTGAACATTAGAAAACCGCCAAACTTACCATGCCTTACACTACCCCCTCTCCCATAGGAGCACTGTCCGCAGTGCTAGGTGACTGTTCCTGCGGGACTTGTCTGCTCTAAGGCCTGTTGTCGAAAAGGTTTTAGTCTATTGAAGTGTGTGACTAGACTATGAGAGGAATTCGGTTCCTGAATCCTACAGGTGCAGTCACTTAGTACCTCTACTACAGTGAATGGTCCTTCCCAGCGTTTATGGAATTTAAGAGCTTTCCCTTTAGGTGGTGCCTCCTTAAGTAGCATCACCTTGTCTCCTGGCTCCACTGGTGATCCATGTGCTTTCCTATCATAGTATTCTTTCTGGTACCTCTGGTTTGTTTGGAGTATATCCCTAGTCATCTGATGTACCTTGTTCAGGTTTCGTCGAAGTCTGATTACGTGTTCAGATGCAATCAGTGTATCCTCTCCTAGTGTGTTTGAAGTCAGATCGATTGGCAACCGGAGTTCTCTTCCAGTGACCATATAATGAGGCGTTTGACGCGTAGCTTTGTGAATGCTTGCTCTGTATGCCATTAAGCACTGTGAGAGTGATCGGTCCCATTCCCTGGGGTTGTTTTGATCTACAAATGCCTGCAAGAGGGCTTTAAGTGTCCGATTGGTGCGTTCAACCAAGCCATTTCCCTGTGGGTGGTACGCGGTAGTGCGTGTCTTCCGGATACCCATTATACGACAGAGTTCGCTGACAACGATACTTTCAAAGTTGGATCCTCGATCTGAATGCAGTTGAAGTGGTGCCCCCCAACGGCTGACCCAGTGGTCAAAAATTGACTCTGCGATGGTTACAGCATCAATCTGTGGGATCGCAATAGCCTCGCACCATTTGGTAAAATGGTCTACCATGACTAAAATATAGTTATTATTTCTGGAAGTTACTGGGAGAGGTCCAACCAAGTCTATTTGTACTAAGTCATTCGGATGGCCAGCTATAATGGGTTCTAAGGGTGCCTTATTATATTTGTGCGGAGCCTTAATAGTTTGGCATACCTCGCAGGAGTCACAGAAATCTATGATGTCTTTCCTCTGGTGAGGCCACCAATAACGTCTTTTAGCCGCTTCAATCATTTTCCCTGAGCCCGCGTGGCCTAACTGCTGGTGTAATGACAATAGTACTGTGGGTAGTGCCGACTGTGGAGCCACAACGCGACGAGTATAAGTGGGTCCATGTTGGTAGTAGAGGATGTCATCGACAATTTTCAGATTATCCCACAGAGACCATAAACACCGGGTTTCCCATCCAAGCTTACTTATTTCCTGGGTTGTCGGTCGTTCGCCTCCATTTCGAACACGTTCGTAAATCAAGGCCAGTTCAGGGTCTGAAGACTGAAGTTCAGGCCAACTATATGAAGTATGAGCCTCTAGTTGGAGCAGCGAAACTTGTGCTTCGGTGCATGATGGGCAGTCACCGTGATACCTAAGAGGTTTTCTTGACAACGCATCTGCATTTCCATGATTCTTACCCGGTCTATGCATGCATTCGAAGTCATACTCTTGTAGGTGTTCTTGCCATCTGGCAATCTGACCCTCAGCTTCTTTGAAGTTATGTAGCCAGCTAAGGGCTTTGTGATCAGTGCGTACAATGAAATGTCTACCGAGGAGATATGCCCTAAAGTGTTTAACAAAATTGACCAGTGCCAGCATTTCTTTCCGCGTGGTGCAGTAATTCTTCTCACTCTTGTTGAGTGCTCGACTTGCATAGGCTATCACCTTTTCTACTCCATCTGCGTCTTTTTGAGACAAAACTGCCCCGATACCAGAGTCGCTAGCATCTGTATCTAGGATGAATGGACCTGCCTGGTCAGAAACATTGGGATACGCTAGGATAGGGGGGCTACATAAACAGTTTTTTAGTCTTTCGAAGGCTTCCGTCGCTGATGCTGTCCAATTGTAGTCTTTCTTCTTAAGAATGTCGAATAGAGGAGCTGCAAGGAAAGAGAAGTTAAGTACAAAACGTCGATAATACGAGGCTAACCCTAAAAAACTATGTAACTCGGGGGCTGAGTTTGGGAGCGGCCAGTCTTTGACTTCCTGAACTTTTGCTGGATCACATTTAATGCCTTCGGCTGAAACAATGTGACCTAAGAAACACACTTCTTTCCTGAAGAATTGACATTTCGATGGGTTCAGTTTTAACCCAACGGTCTGCATCCGTTCTAATACTTCGGAAATATCACTTAAATGTTCGGTCAACGTCTTACTATGTATGATAACATCATCTAAATATACCAAACACTTACCTGGTATGCAATCACTCAAGACCGTTTGCATGAGGCGTTGGAATGTTGCTGGGGCATTGACTAACCCAAACGGCATTGTTTCAAACTCATACAGGCCTGCTTGTACAATGAATGCTGTCTTTTGCCTGTCATCTGGGTGTACTTCAACCTGCCAATATCCCGATGCCAGATCTAGAGTGGTAAACCAATTCGACCCCTCTAAGGCATCAAAAGTGTCGTCTATGCGTGGAAGGGGAAAGCAGTCTCGTCTAGTTAACAGGTTTAACTTACGATAATCTACACACAACCGGAGTGTCCCATTCGATTTCTTAACTAAAACTACCGGTGAAGCCCATGGAGATACGGATGGTTTGATGACATTTTTCTCTAACAGTTCATCAACTAACCTGTTAAGCTCCTTCTGGTAATGTGCAGGTACTCGCCGTGCAGGTTGTCTACAAGGTGGGGCGTTACCCGTTTCTATGTGATGTTGGACCAGTTTTGTTCTTCCCGGGCTTTTTCCATCCCAGTCAAAACAGTCCTCATATTTGTCTAACATTTTATTAAAGTTGGCAGCCGTTTCCGATGGTAGGGGTTCTATAGTCGTCAGCATTCGCTGTTTCTCACTCTTAGCATCTCCCTGCACGCCAAAAGTGCCGTGCTCTTTGTCGTTCCCTACAATAAATGGGATGGAACAGTCCTTCAGTATAAGAGTCCTATGACTACAATCTATTATTCCCGACAGCTTTTCCAGGAGGTCGACTCCCAAGATTACCTGCCACGGCACCCGGGTAGAAATGATGAAATTGTGTTGAAGTGACAGTGTTCCCAATTTAAGTGGCAGCAGGACCAGTCCCTGGGATTGCATGCAATCTCCATTGGCTGTCGTAAGCCGCAAATTGTGAGTCCCTATTGTTGGCCTAAACGTCTCTGGAACACATGAGGAATGTACGACAGAACAAGTTGCTCCTGAGTCAACTAACATAACACACTTTTTCCCGCCTATATAACCTACAACTTTCGGGGAGGAGGTGACACCGATTAGGTTTACAGTAGGCACACAATTCATATCGACATGTGACTCACCTGCATTGTGACCACAACTCCTAGCAAGCTTACCAAACCGCCTGCAGTAGTAGCAATCGTTTCTTGAAGTGGATTGCGACTGTGGGCGTCCTTTCCACGGTGGTGTAGGATTCTGTGCATGCTTTGTTGTTGTGTGCTGATATCCCATTGCGTTTACTTGTGGGCATGTGGTTCCTGGCTCTTCCAGGCTTTCCATTAGGCGTGCCCTAGCTTCCGCTTCTGTCATGGATGCTGGAGTGTGCAAGTTGAAGTCCTTCCTGTAACGGACGTCGACGCCCTGCAAGAACTTGGAATATATAGCGCTTTCAACCTCTGAATGTGTCTTGTCCTGCATAGCTTGACGCGCAAGCTTGCGGAGACGTAAGGTGAACTGGTTGATAGATTCACCTTGTCTCTGGTTGCACTCGCTGAATCTTTTCAGCGCTTCAATGGGAGGTATTGGTGGCACTATACGTGCTCTTAGAGTACTCAACAGGGTGGTCAAGGGCATATGCACGTAATCCAAACCAATTGTGTACATTTCCAAGGACCGTCCAACAGAATCGATGACGAATGCGTTCGGGTGAGGCACGTTCATCAGATCAATGTATCGGCACACCTTGTCCGACCACAGCTCGAAATCATCACCCACCTCCAGTGTATGCGGCAAGGGATGGACATATCGCGAAGCAGGCTGATTTGACTGAAAAGCTGGAGCCCTCACTTCAGCCAATTGATCCACCTCGTGAGATGCTGTCTGTTTGACAGGAGAAGTGTTCTTGGAAGCCTCATTGGGTCGAGACTTAGAAGAAGAAAGTTTTTTCGTTGGCAGGCTCGCCATTTATGTAATCCCACTCGTCAAGCAATGATCTGAAACAGAGAGCAAAGCGCACGTTAGCAGTGTGATCACACAAGTGTTGCGTGCTAGTAAGAACGAGGACTCAAGGTCAAGTATTATATTTACAACCAATCGCAATACAAGTAGATAAGAGGGAAGGGCACTCCTATTGGTCATCCGTTGCCTCGTCTTGGGTAACCAATCCCTGCATACTTCGCAGCCAACCTGAAAGTAGACAAGCATGGTTTGAACATTAGAAAACCGCCAAACTTACCATGCCTTACATACTGGTAGACCAAATTTCGCAGGCTGACCATTGATGTCAGGTGTGCAACGGCAGGAGATTGAACCCCGGACCAGTCCTGACCACTGATGGATTTTCAGCTGCTGATTTCGAAAAGCAGTTGGTAGAATTCTCAGCAGTGCTATTAAAAGGTGAATGTAGGCAGTGGTATAGATATGCAGACCAGATAAACAGTGATCGCCAATTCCGATATTCAGTATAAACTCTTGCACTAGACGCAGGCTGTTGTCTGAAGCACAGGGCTCCAATTATGTTATAATTTGCCTCTGACGTTATCTAATGCCTGTTTGGATGAGCCTGTCGACCACGTAAACTTCACTTCTACCAACAGTTGGTTCCAAAAGTTTGAGTCGGTGGAGACCCAGTATTTGCTAGAGATGTGATTCCCCTTGGCTATGGACTTTATGACGTTCTTACCTGATGTGTCCCAGAAAAAGGGGTAGGTTAGCCCCATAGTCATCAAGATGATATCTCTCTGCATGTTGCGTGATATAATTATCCAGCGTTAGGTCTTGAATCACTGGGCTTGAATTTCCATCCGAGATGCATCTTTTAGTTCTTGTTGTTACAATCATTCAGATGAGTCCGTGGGTAGCCAAATGACCTTAAGCACACTTTTGGCTGGCGTGCAACTTACCGTTGCTGAATCCTTGGGGACCAAAAAAAGTGCCATAAATGAATGTTTTGTTCTTCAGACCAAACATTATTGCGTCACATGATGTACTGGAGGTGGTTGTTTTACTTGAAACACCTAGATGAAGAGAAAATGTTACTCAATAAACTACTTTGGGAATTCTGCGTACTGAGGAAACTTATTGTGCATAATAAAGGCTAATATTCATTGAATCATGTGAGAAACTATAAGTGTGGCCTCCCTACGAACTATTTTTAGAATATCTGAGTCCTCCTTAGGACAACAGCTGGCTGTCTGGACCTAGTTTTCCAGTTTTGGCGCCAATAGAGACTTCTAAATTGATGAACATTTCACTAGTGAATCTAGTAAGCGTCCTCAGACGAAGCTTTGCCTGAGAAATACCACAGCGTAACAGTGCGCCTTAGTTTT